TTAAGCACCCTTTTTTTGCATCTAATGCTGGCCAAGATCATCATAATGCAGGCCAAAATTGGTTTAGTGCGGGCCAGGGGTGCTTATTTTCGGGGGGGTGCTTACTTTCGGAATTATACGGTAAGTGTCGGTTTATAGATTGTACATTGTATTAATAAGGTTTGAGCTTATTAATAATAAATACTGCTTTTACCCTACTTTACATGTCTATCTATTCTTTACGTGTATAAGATTATATAATTCTTTTATATTTATGATTGGCCGATGGCAACGATCAAATTGTTACTAATGAAATCGTGATCGTCCATTAAGCGAAATAAGTTTCTGGGCTAATTTTTGGCCCAAACTTTAACATTTTTGCAATTAAAAAAATTAAAATTTAAATTCCGGCCAAAATTATGCATAATGCGGGCCAGAATTTTGTCGATCACAGCCGTTGGCCAATCAAAATCGAGGATCAACCGTGGCACCAATCCCGCGCGCGGGATTTTTGGAAAACCCGCGATTTGCCCATCTCTACCTGCTACTAACAAATTTCATACATATTTGTATGTTTATTATGCTCTTCGATCGGTTCGTATATGCAAAATTTATAATCGGAATATTGTGGTTATTGAAATTAAATGTGATAAATAACAACTGATAAGATATAAAACTAATAAGCGGCCGATAAATGACTTATAATAAACTTTACGAAGGTCAATTAAAATATTAATTTTAATCTCAATAGTCACATAAAATGTACAGGTAGTTTATTTTTTATAATAAAAAAATTACAAAAATTGGATATTTTAATTCATATAATGATCTTTCAATTTCAGATTCAATTATCAGCCTAAAGTTCAATTTTGGTTTTTGGTAAAAAATAATTCCAAACATTATAAAAATATTTATCCTTTACCACAATATCATCAACCTATTCAAATATATTCTCAACCTAAGTAATCAAAGAGGATTTATCTAACTATTTACAGTTCTATACGAATGTTTTTGCTTTTTTGCTAAATATTTAAATAATTTCAATATGATACCATTTAATAAAACAATAGAACCAGTTAATAATGCCAAAAACGGAATGACTTCATATTTCACAGTATTTTTAAAATATAAAATCTAAAAAATAAAGATTTAATTCGAATTAATTGATATTCAAGTTTAAATTTATTAGTTTTATTATAAAATATAACAAACCTGTACGATAAATTGTGGAATATCTTCAATAATAATATTGATTATAGTTCCCCAATAGATCAAATTTGTAGCAAAATTAGAGAATGGTGCATTAAAAATATCAAAACCAGCAAATTTTGAAGTTAAAAGTTCAAATAATGCGACATTTGCACCTGAGCATATAATTAAAATTGGAATAAAACTATTATGTTCACCAAACCACTTCATAAAATCTATGTTATTTTTCAGCTCATAAGTTATTAATATAATCACTGTGCCAATATTAAATGCCATTGATATAATTAATATAATAACACTTTTTTATAAATTTAAAAGGTAAGGTAGTCATGATTAATATTTATTCTATATTAAGTTATTGATTATAAATATGAAATACCTACCTGGGAATAAATAACCATGAAACGTCCCTTCCATTTTCGACAATAAATAATATATCCATGATTAAATCAAGCAAAATGAATTCAACATTAAGGATTATAAAGCTTTGCCCCTATATATAAATATTTATGAGTGTTAATAGTTATAATAAAATACTTAAATTATATAAATACTGTATATGTGTGAGTAACGCCAAAAAAAATAGACTTTAGGTATTATTTATTATTTACCAGACTCATCCTATAAATTAAATTTAATTGCATATTGTGCTCAAAGCAGAGTCTAGTAAACAATAAACTTGAAAACCTATAATCCGATTTTTTTTTGTAATCCTCATGCATAGCATTAATTATTAATATTAATTTTTTACCTTTGAACTTTTATAACGAGCCCATAAAGCTATAGCAATTACGATTACACTTCCAATCAATAATACTAATAATCTTAACTTAATTTTATCCCACAAATTCACTTCATATAAATAAAGATATAAGTATGTTATTATTTAATATAACTATTTTTTTAATATCGTCAAGTAACTTAAAACAACTTACAATTTATTATTAATCCATATGATGAATCCAAGTATTTTGTATAATTATTCATATATAAGATTGCATCCCGATCTTTTATTAATCCTGTGATGTCTTCAACAATTTGGGAAACAGGATCTTGATAAGGATCTTTAGTTGATAAGATTTCAATTTGTATTAAATATTGAGATGATACTGATGGATCATATTGAATTCGATTTGTCAATTGTAATCTTTCAGGACTTGTTGGAATGCTTTCAATAAACTCTCGTTGAAAATTGTTAATAAATTCAGTTTTTTCCGAAGGTGAAAGAGAA